TCTGAGAAGAAAAGTTATCTTTAATGACCTCTAATGTCATCTCTTTAGTGATTAGTTTTCCTATGCCATAAACATCTAACAGTTTAATATCTGTGATGAAAGCAAGGTCTTGACTTTTTTTGTCATTTTAGTATTTTTACTAATGGGGGGTATATATGCAAACAGATCTGTTATGAGTTCTCAGCAACTTTTGAATCTTACTGTATTGAAGTACATATACAACAAATGCTTATGTCTCCTCTATTAGCTTCCCCTCCACCTAGTCTAAAGCATCATAGGCATTTGAGTCAGGCAGAAAAACTCTCATAGTGTTTGTTAAGGAGAGGTTTTGTTTGCTGTAAGTAGCTGTAAACATCAGTCGCCTAGAGAGAGGAGTGAAAACTGTAACTAGTTGAAGTATGACAGCAATGGTTGTACTATTACTGTAAAAAGCCATAAGGTTATTTTTCAATAAATAAAAATACAAAGACAAGATAGAAGTGACATTAAAAAATAATCACTGAATTTAAAAACACAGTACTGTTAAGGACAAACAAGTAAGCACTGGTAAGCTTTTGAAAACCAAAAAAAATAAATAAATCTAATGTGATAGCCACATGAACTTTAAGCAACACATTCCTGAAAGCAAAAACCCCCAGAAGATTACAAACTAGGAAAAGCTTATGAACCATTTTTAGAGTCAACCTCCTTATGCCAGTAGATCACCAGTCTCAAAGAGATCTGTCAAAAAAAACTGTAGTAATTTTTCAGATGGAGGTTAAAATAACTTGGGAGTATTTTGATCACTTACTCAGGCCTTTTGATCCCATGTCGTCAGGGACCTCCTGCAGAGTAGTCCCCAGAGGGCAAGCAATAAAAAGACAATCACAAAGAAAATAATTGTCAGTAATATATAAAATTGGCGCTACGACAGGAGACAGTTCCCAGAACATCACAGGGAAAAATTTGTCTGTATAGGATTTGACCTGACTGGCACATGAAGTGTAATCAATAATGCAAATGGCAGAAAACAGTTTGTTTGGAACTTGGTCTGAATTAGCAAATTTCTGCCACTGCTCTTTGAGAAGACACTTTTTTTAGTGCTGGCAACAACAACGAAAATCAAAGTAACCTCTCTTCATTAGGCAAATCAAATTAGAATGAATGACTTTGAAGAACCAGTCCAAAGGGACTGATTTGAGAAGCTGGAAAACATGCTGTGCCTTCTCCTCCAAGCCAGAAACAAGGAAGCATCACTGACAGCACTGGAAGGCACTGCCTCCTCCAGATACGTACACGCTGTCACTCAACAGTATTGCCCAGTGTATTCCAAACTGGGATACTCTTGGGTTAAATTTCACTTTGACAGCAAACAAACGGTTGCATTGATTTTGTAGATTGGTTTGCCATTGGCACGGAAAGCTCCTTAGCCTGTTGCAGCTCATGAAACTGTCTCCATGGTAACACCCTACTGCACTCTAGCAGGCCCTTCTACGTGTGCTTCGCTCTCCATTGAATGCCACATACTTACGGTCAATATCACTGGTTTCCTGCTCACTCTGGTCCTTGTTCTTGTAGAAGGGAAATTTTCGGGAAAAGAGGTTCTTTTTACGCTTGTCATTGAATGACTGCTGAAGAAGAGAAGGAGGGGCAAAACAAAGGATGTCTAATGTCTGTGTGAACAAAGGCCCAGCCCAGCAGCTCTGTGGAAGCTGACTCCTACAACCACATTATGCAGTGCATAGTTCAGGTTAACACTATTGTCTCAGCTCATTAGAAATAGAGATTGGGATTTGTTCGTACCCTCTGTATTTCACATGCTTAGCCCTGAGAGCACTGGCAGGCTGGTTCATTGTGCATGGCCTGACCTTTATTTCACAAATTTAGGCTTCTAGGACTGTGGAAAAAAATGAAAAACTAGGCTGCTGTAGGATGGCCAAACCATAATGATTCAAAGCCACTTAGATCACTGATGTAGCCTCATGTATGGGTTACAGTATTTATAAAGAAAGTTGAGGCTTTACACATGCTTTTGCAAACAGCTGATATTAACACAACACACCAGAAGTATTTGCCAGTGTTACCCATTTGCAAAGGCAAAACTGTTAATACTCTGGTGACAACTGCTAAATAACATATCATACAGTAAAGAAAAATGGAAGTTAAAAACTGGCGTTGTACCAAATACTCTAAGTAACGGTGAAGTCGGAAAAAAGGGAAAAAGAAATGTGTCTAGCTAAAATGAAATATCTAAACAACTAAAAAAATCCCCAAACCTGTATTTGTTTCCATGTTTAATAAATGCAATTTATTGCCAGTTCACTGAAAGAAATTACTTTGTTCTACCTAAGTCTGCATTCCAATACCAAGATTAACTTTCAAAAGAGACAAACTCCTTCCATTTATTTATTGTGGCACTGTATTTTTCAAGGGGCATTTATAATTCATTACCCATGAAAAACCCCTGTCTACCAAGGTTCATGTTCAGCAACTTTTGACATGAACTGCTCATGTTGCTGAAGAATTTCTGTATCTCAATTGCTACAAAAATTTCTAGAGTTACCTACACAGACATATACATCCACTTGAATATAAACTATTATTGTGGTCCTTGTCCAAGTGATGGAGAATAACTGTGTTTTCATTCATATATAGGTAAGTCTACAAGCACAACTGACACAAAATTTAGTAATATCTGCCATGTCTTCTGCTGAAGACATTATGTGACTACAGCACCTTTAATCTGCTGTTCCAAGTCAATAAAGAAATACCAATAAACCAGTAACATTTTTATGGCAATTATGGCCAGAATTAGAACAAATACAGCGAACTTGATGCCAGCTAAAATTTCTTTTCATCTTTAGGCATAAGTGATTTATCTGACCAGTGTGGCAGACATGAAATTTGCCACAGTTTCGTCATTCGATTTGCAGAAACTGCAATGGGAAGTATGGCAAAAGTAAGAAAACATCCAGCTTGGTTTTGAGACCCTGTGCTGCAGGGGGACTCTTTATTTCTAAGTTAAGTCAAGTCCATGTGCAGCAGGAAGTAATACAAGTGCCACAGAAACATATTTTAAAAGCTACTGTTAAAAAAAATCCCAAAAAATTCATACATTAAAGACTCTGTTAATAGCTATTTCAAGAATTTGGAGCATATTAACTTTCAAGTAATTGTCTTCAGCCAATGTGAGCTCATCTTCCTCTATTACATGTCATACAGTTGAAAAAAGCTGTATCATCTTAGAGATGATCTTAGAGTTGCAAAAAGATATGTCATCATACAGACTCCCCAGGGAAACGGTCACAAACCAAGCCTGACAGAGCTCAAGAGTGTTTGGACAATGCCTTCAGGCACAAGGTGTGATTCTGTGCAGGGCCAAGAGTTGCACTCAACGATCCCTTGTGAGTCCCTTCCAACTCAGAATATCCTGTGATTCTGTGATCTTTTCTATCAGCATGAAGGATGGAATGAAACAGAGTAACAACTAGGGGTCAAACAGGACAAAGTTTGCTGAAATGCTGGGCCACTGCGACACCAAAGCTGTGTCCTACCCCAGTACTAACAACGCTTCTGGCCATCTGTTTTAATACAGACTTGCTTGGCAACAGCAGACAGTGAAACATCTAGGGATATTTTCATTACCAATGTTTAAAAAAAAGGTTACTTAAAATTACCAGGTGTTAAAGAGGCACATGGTATTATGGGAGCACAATCAGTGACATTGAGCTCTGGAAATAGCAATACTGTGCTAAGGAGGAAATCCATAAAACCTTTAATTGCTTTGCATCTGTGTTCGACTAAAACTGTTGTTCCACTGTAAGAATTGGTAAATTATCAACCTGACACATGGACAAAAGATCTAGTTTCAAATCAATCATATGCTTGCAGGAACCATAGTTGGCATGGGCAAAGCTTTAGGTTATGATCCTCCTGACCTTTTTTATCTGAAGTCAAGTCATTGCAATTGATTTCTCACAACCAGAAAGGTTAATGTAATCCACAGAACAAGGGCAACAAAGAAATATGCCCAAAGGAGATCTTTGCTGAATATACTGAAAAATACTGTCTCACATCTATATAAACGTTTCATTTGGGCAAGTGCCTCAGTTTGGTAAAAGAATAGGAGACATGAATATAACTAAGCTAAAGTGGTGCAGTACAACTGAGTGGTAAGTTGTACTGTACAGTGCAATTTGTACAGTTAAAATAAAAGGAGTGGCTAAATTACTGTACTTCACAAAACAATCAGGTTCTTCATTATATTTTTGAAAATCTTTCATAATAGTAATAATTTTAATTTTCTGTACAGTAAGCCTTACTGAGCTAATAATAAATTTCATATACTGCATGTATAATGGTCAGAGTCAGTTCCATTGCCAAAAAAAAAAAAAAGAGAAAATAAAAGTAAAATTATACTAATTTTGCATAAGATTAGCCAAAAGATTATTTTTCAAAGATACCATGATTATAAAAAGCTAGAAAGGATTTGCTTATTAGTTGAAAATGCATAGTAATTGCATTAAATTTTTCAGAAGCCCATGGCAAATCATACACAGGTAATGAGCAAGAATATATTAAACCAGAAGCAGCACAGAAAATGAGATAAATGTGAATATGAAAGGAACAAACAAGGAAAAAAATGTAACCATTTCTGCTCCAGACTCTCTTATTTTTCCTTAAAATGAAAGGAACATGAATTTTAACGTTAGAATAACTAGGGTTATTCTTTAACATCTTCATGTAGAAATTAACTATACAAAATTGGGATTTCATCCTGTTCATGGAGTATTATGATGTACAGCAGGAAAGCACATAGTCCATGAGGACATGTATGGTGCAGCCAACTTACTGGGGAAACTTCACCAGGACAAATACAGGAAGAATACTTTAAGGAGAAACTCTATTGTTAAAACATTTACAGCTGAAGCAAAAGATTGTGACCAGCATAAGCATGTTTGCAACATGAAATGTTACTAAAGCAAAAGAACTGCAGTTCTGTATCAATGGCAAGCGTAGTTGCTTTTCCACTTGGAATTCCATGCATCTCTGTGGTGCTATGCTAGTACCCAGGGACTGCTCTGGTCAAAATGCTACTTCAAACACATCGTTCATCAACTGTTTGCAGCTTATTGGTAGACAAACTACAAACCATGCAATTACCTTTTGAGGAACATAGTAACATTTTAAAAATTATTTCATGCAATGCAAATAATCTGAAGTATTTAAGACATTTCCTTTGTGACTTCTAAAAAATGAACTCAAATGACTCTGTCAGTTGATAACATTTTATTCCAATACCAAAAGATGCACCAAACCAGAAAAAACTGCAAATTATCTAGTGAATCTCCAAGGCAGTACCATAATTGTATATCAGAAAGTAGCTAGAGATATTGATTTCTTTTTAATCAAATAATTATAGGGAAAAAACATAACTCTTCATTAATAACTGAAACCCTTGCCATGTAGCAGAGGAATGTACATATGGATTTGACAAGTCATTAAAGTATTAAGTCCTACACTATCAGTGTAGAATACTGAAGCTTTAATATTTTATATATGAGATTTTTTTGAAGTTATATAAGTATTGTAACTGAAATAAATGACTGAAAGTAATCTTTGGGATTTACTAATGCCACAGCATTAGTGCAATTAAATATATACTATTTAGAAAGTGTTAAGAAATAGCTTCCTCAGGAGCTTGAATCATGCTTCAGATTCTTAAAAATGATAATATATGATTACTTTAGAAAGCTCTTACATCTAAAATGGATATGCCTAAGTCTTGAAACTACTAGTTATATACTATTGGGAGAAATTCTAAGGTTGTGAAATTGTTTCTCAAAATTCAGAATGACCAAAACATTGCAAAAAAACCTCACCCTCAAAACCATAAAAAAAAATTTGGCTGCTGTGCCATTTTGAAATTGCTATAATTTCAGCTCCAAACATCCCTATTATTACTTAAGTAGCCTCACTGCTTTCCCACCACACATTCCCATCAGGGAACTGCATCAATTAATAAACTAATTTAATAAACTAAAATTAAAACCAGAATTTCTTTTGGATTGGGATATTTTTCATCAGCATTGGCTATTTTACATGATTTAAGCACAGCCTGGTAAGTACTTGCATCAACAGTGAGAGAAACCAGGTCTGAGCTGGAGGCTGATTCTGGTTTCGAGTTTTGTTGGCCTAAGCCCTTGCATGAAATTCTGTAGAGCTTCCATATCCATAATTGTAATGAAGAAGTTACTTTATGCTGTCTAAATAACTGTGTAGTTTATAAAACCTCATTTAATCAGAGGGATCCTGTTGACCTTTACTTCCTTGTTTTCTAGATGCATTAAAAAAATCTTAAAGAAATGTTTTACTTTTCCTGGAAGTTGGCAGTAAGTCCCTTCTCAAATAAAGGGAGTCCAGGAGTACAAACCATACTCAAGGACTAAATTGCTCTATAAACAGCACTTGCAGAGCTGTTAGAAATGACACTATTCAATACCTGATTAATATATAAAACTCTTACTACATTACAGTATTAATGAGAATATATATTTCTATGCTATTTCTTTAAACAATTTGCAGTGTTTTGGCAATTAAAGTCTGCTTTGGTGCTCAAAATTATTTTATTTCTGTTTGAGAAAACTTAGTCTGTTCACTAAAATCTGAAACTTAGGCTCCATCGTAAACCACTGAAAACTGTTACCATTCACAATACTAGGTGTAATTAGCACTTCATTAACTCACCCCTTTATCTCCTCTTGTTTTGGAATTGAATTTCACTGTCTTTAAACGGGCTCGTTCCTTTTTCTCAACTCTACCACAAAAACACACACAAAAATGGTAGAATCAGCAAAACACCAGAAATTCATGTTACTGCTCATTACATCAGAAGTATATTGGTGTACCTTTTGTTCTGTACATTTTTACTGCCTATGACACATTCAGCACATGGAAGCCTGCTAATGGAAATATTAGAAAAGTAGGGTATTGTTTCTCAAGTGATGAGCTGTGAGAGCAGTGGAGTCTTTTGAGGCTGTCTAGGTTCAATATATCCGGAGGGTGCAAAGAGAAAACAAGATGTAATAAGTGAATGGACTCAGTTATGGGTCAACAGCAGGTACAAAGATTCAGAGCACCTAAACTCTTATTTGAGTCTCTAGTATGGCAACAAACACCTTGCCTCCACTGACTCAGGCCACCAAAGAATGCTCTTCCAGTTTTCCAGATTCTGGATAGAAAGAATTCATAATAGTGTCATGACTTGAATAATAGTGACTTTGCACCTTTTCACACATAAATGCTGCACTGTATTAAACCCACATCATGTTATTAAACCCACTGCTTGCTTGCTTACAGTGAGAACAGGGAAATGGATGTGGACTACCTTTATCAACTTCAGCACACAATTCCTAAGGCTCAATAAGATTTTAACAAGCTTCTCTCATTGAGTTAATCAGAATCCCACTAGAGATCACTTTTTGTAAAATAAAAAAAATAATAAATCAAACTTAAGTGGCTGATGTGGTTCACAATTAACAACAAAGAGAAAAGCATTTGCCATATATGTATTAATCATCTCAGACATTTAATAGCAGACATCTCAAAGTCAATACAGTATGACATACCTCCGCTTGCTTGGGATAACTCCAATTTCATCACTCTCTCCATCTGGAGTTACCTGCCGTGCTTGCCACCATTCATCATCAGAAGCATTAATGACATGGAGAATATCGCCAAATTTGAAGTTCAACCCTTGACTTGGAAGGCCACTATCTTTAGTCTTGTCATAATCAAAAAGAGCTCTGCATTAAACATAGAAAAAATAAAAAAAGAGAAGAGTATGAATAGCACAAAATAGAAAGGAAGGTGCCTGTGTTGTTCGTAACTGATGGCATCATTCTGACAGGTACTAAAAAGAAGGCTGAACACACTCTCATACACATGCAGTGCTGCAGTATAATACTGACACACACTTCTAAGTTTTAGTGAATGAGAACAAACTTCATACCGAGCAAAACTCTAGTGCTTTACAAAAGGTCCCCAAAAGACACCCCCTGCAATTCAACGTGCACTTTGCACAGAGCAAGTTACATGTCAGCCTAGGATAAAAAAGGCAAGCAAGTATTTGAAGCATGCAGTACTGTCAAAAGTTCTGTAATGTACAGTTATATATCAAGTTATAAATTGAAATTATTTTAGTGAATAAAAAGTACTGTCTTCAAAATAAGTCAATATTCTGCTCACAGGGGGGAAAAAAAGCCAACTTAAAATATGGTCTGATCACCACTTTGCTGCTGTAGTACCCCAAGGCAAAGAACCTTATGCACATTCTTTTGGAAAATTCCCAACCATTTCAAAAGAATCTCATCCTTTTTCCTAAGGTAAGCCAGTTTGCAGATAATAGGTACTGGCAGGAGCTGACAGCAGCTGTGTGACTACCATTTTATTAACATTCCCTTTGCCAGCAAGGTTGGTTTATGCAATTCACTGCTACACATACCCACATTCATGCCTGCTTGGCACTGACTTCTGTCCCCCTTTCTTGGTTATGAAAGAACAATTGGCTGGAAAGGCACATGGCACACCACACTGTGGAACTGATATGGGTTAAAATTAACGTCTTTTCTCCCTGTTGGATCATTTTCTAGCTGGCCTGGTTCCCTGAGGAACTGACAAGATCTGCAGTATGTTTCTCCCAGCACAGCTGAGAGTTTAGTGAGCATGTTGAGATGAATGATGACAGGAGCCTCTTAGCAAACTGAAAGGGATGCTCCTAAGACTCTGCCTCATGAAGGACTCTTACATTTGAAAAAGGTGCATGAACCTCACCTACATAAGTGAGAAGTGCTTGTATGACATAGTAAAAAATCTTCAAGTTTATTTCATCTGCCAGTTTGTATGTTTGCCAGTGCTGCACTTGCTACATGATACCCTAACTCGCTGTCCTCTATACCAAGCTCATCACAAAGTACTACCAATAGACTACAATGCAGTGATTTAAAACAGTCATCTTCCTTGTCCAAATTCAGTTTGTTTCTTCAGCTCACACATTGGTCTTACGTACCTTCTTCTGCTAATTTTTAGCACCTACAGATTTTTTAACCCATATAAGTACATAAGTCATAACCTGTGTGCTGCAAAATGTACTCTAGCTTTGGGAATTTTGCCTTTCAACCACTAAGTACATTTCTTTGGGTTTGAACTTTATTTGGTTCATAACCAATGACAAATTGTTTACAGGGCAAAAATTCAAAATCTTTTGTCAGATTAATCCATCTTTAGCATCTACAGTGTTTGAGACACCACACCTTTCCTGGGCCATAAAAAGTATTAAAAATGTTTCCTAAAGGATGAAAGGTTTTAAAAAGCATTTTCTAAAATGTCCAGAACACAACAGACATTTTAAAATGGCTTAGAAATATTTACTGTTGTGATACACAAAGCCCTATATTTAAATTTGCAATACTTTCAGTTAAGTTTATAAAAAAATGTAGGCTTTCAGTTTTTAAATAGCTTGGAAGCTGAAATATCACCTTCCTTCAACAGTCCAACCTTCATGATAAGATTTTCTGGCTTAATTCCCTAACTTTAGATATCCTGATTCTTTTCAAAAAAGATCAGAACCCTTTTTTGGTTTGAACTAGCCAAAATACTGCATGTAAGATAATGATACACATAGGAGTTATTCCTCCACATTTCTTCTGCACGTTTGTTCAAGAAACACTCTGGACAAATATCATTTCATATCTCAAAATAAACTGCACAGAATCCATCCTGTACTTTCACTGCAGATTCAAACTGTATATATTTGCACTGAATTCATTACATACATCATGAAATTAACTTCCTGAGATTTCTTGTTAGCATTCAAGCAATGATTTATACCAACATTACTTTTAACTTGTATGTTTTTGTTCAACTATAAACCAGTATGAGCAGTGAGCTGGGCCTGACAGCATTAACTTGTGTGTTGACTGCATGAGAAAAAAACCCAGGAGTGAAATGGAAGCACAAATGGATAAAAACATTATCATCAACATGTGCTCTTCCACCTTCAGAGATGGTTACACACAATAGTTTTTGCATAATAAGAGGCAGTTTCATCAAACATTTTCTCTGATGAGGTCACTTCAAGAAAAAAGAATTTAATTGGAGAAAAAAGTCAAAGCTGACAGTTTTATAATAAGATCAATTAGGGTGACACATAGTAGTGACAAACCCAGGTAGCTAAAATTTATAAAAACGCCAGAAACTGGTAATGAACAAATAAATGAGCCAAAAAGCAAACAGAATTACAAAAATTTCTGTTGACTCCAACTGATTAACATGACTTTTCCTGTATGCCTGGCACATCATCAGGAGAGAACTCATTTCACAGCCAAGATGACATATTCATCTACAGACTGGTATATATAAAGTTCCACTTCTATTACCTCCCTGTACAAAGACTTTTATTACAGATTAACAATACCATGTACACATTTTTTCAGTGTAAGTTTTTTAAGGGTTTAGTTAAAATTTCCTAACTGTTTCTAAACTGTTCATTTTCTTCCACTTGGAGATGCAACCATTTTCTGCTCTAACTCAGGCAGAAATCAGCACCGTTGTTTGAATTTGGAATGCATCGCCTTGGTCAGAAAAATGCACAAAGGTAAAAGTCATTTTCAATGTTGAACATTATGCACATTGCAGCCTGAGATTAATCATTATCAGATGAGAAGATGAGGAAGAGATTTACTCTCTCTCAACATATTATCACAGACACTTGATACCATGAAGGTATCTCACATATGCTTTTTGAATCTGCAGATGGAGGAAAGTATATAGGTGTAGCTCAGGTGCAAAACCAAAACCATAATAAGAAAGCATCTCTCTCCTCTTAGAATGAAGATCAAAAGAAATATAAAGCATAATAAGAGAAGGCCATTCCATCAGTACATCTCAATGAGCTGGAGGAGAGTTAGATGTGTAAATGTGGAGTTAGCTGCTGCTGAATTGCTGTATTTGTGTTGCCCAGCAAGGACTGTTTGCTAATTGCTGTTCATCATGTGTTGATATATATCCAATTAAGAAGAAAAAATCTACCATTTTACTTTTGTACTTTTTTACAATCGTCTTTTAAGACAAACACAACTGCCTTTTCCTTGATACTACATAACACCCCCAAAATGCTGCTTATGGGCAGACTACTCATACAGGTACCAAGTTTACAGGGATACAACAATGCACCTGATTTTATTTGCTATTTTACTACCATGATTTTGATAAAACACCAGAGATTATTATTTCCAGAGCATTTTTGTTTAATAGGTATTCTACAATTGTGGTTGAATGTCTATAAATATTTTACTGTTGGATTTACCATTCAATTCAGCATTGTGTTACATAACTGGACTCCTTTAAGGCACATCCAAACCCAAATATTACTGGAAAAAGATGCTCCAGTTACTAAAATTGGCCTTGAATTGGTACAATTAAAAGTACAGTATGATTATACCAGAGGGACTTATAATATGGAATAAAGTGGATAACTAACATGTTCTGTCAGTATCTAGCAATATGTGAAAAGATTCATAAAAGTTACTTCAGTGTGGTCAAAATTACATCAGAAACCACACAGAACAGATGTGAACCCATTCTGTGCATACCAAATTGCCTACCAGTCTTTGGCAACTTTTGGTGTGATAACAAGAGCAGATCTCAAAAGCCCTAGCAGCACCCTCTGTTAAGAGCTGTGGGGAGAAAAGTACTTTTGCTGTGGAATTTTTGCATTTTAGATTTTTGTTCAGACTTATAACGAAGCTGATTATCAAGCCTCAATAGCCTTTCTTGGAACAGGGATCACCAGTCTCCATGAGGCTCCTGCCAACAGCCTGGAGAAAGCTTCAAGTTCTGCAGCAGTTGGCGAAGTCAAAAGCTCAACAACTTCCATCGGTGGAATAAAAGCTCCATAAACATAAAATGCTTGTCAGTGGCTTAAAATATCAGACCAATGTGTGAAATGAGCATAAGCGGTTTAGAGCCTAATCAGGCTATAGCTAACCAAGCAAAATAAAAGCATTTACAATAGTTTAGGCTTAGTTATACGATGAGGGCTAAAGCCATCAATCTTGGGAATATGGAAAGGAAGATCCTGGCACAATATCCATGTGTACACCTACCTGTGGAAATTCAGAGACATGGATCACATGATATCAAGCACTTATCCTTAGTACTTAAGGCATTTATCTCTAGAAACTTTATTTTTGACCCCCAAAACAATTAAGGTAGAGAAAAGTAGAAAAAAATATTAAGATCAACTCTGGAAGACCAGAATGCAGGTAAAGCTCCTAAAACAACAGGTCAGAACATGTGAGCTACCTGTTAAAGTCAAGCTAGGCAGAAGCCCTATGAGTTATTAGCTACATTTGTTTTGAAGCCTTGAGAAATACATTGCAAAGGACTGAGACTTTCCTGAGCACAGATGTAATTACTCAGGTAGCTCCTACATGTTAGACTTGCTTTCCCATAGCTCAATAGATAGAACACACCACGAACAAAACAGCATCTACTTCGGATGGAAAAAGTCAATAGCACCCGAGCCTAGGATTTCAGTCAGCAAATCAGTGAGGACCTCCAACATTTTAAACCAAGTTTAACCCAATTACCAGAATTATTTAAGTCTTACCTTCCCTGCTGAGACATTCTAGCCTTTACCCTGAGGCTACTGCTCTGATTCAACACAGAGGAACTCAACGAACAATTTGTTTTTAAAAATGCAACACTTTTACACACATAGCATACTTAAAGCATTATGCTTTATCTGTATATCACCTTAGCACCACTTCCCTGTGAAACCACCTATTCTCTCATCTGCTTCATGCTCATTTATATTTCCACTTCCTTTCAGCCTCCTTTATGTTTAACTTGCTAAGAATAAATTAATGAAGTCTACTCAGTTCATTTGCTTTGATGCATTTTCTCTCTTGGTTACCATGGAAGAATATTCCGTAAAAAAATGTTACTGGATACAGATATAAGATTTTGTAAAACAAGCTGAGAATACAACTAAAGTAAGCTGAAGGAATTAAGATGGAAATCTGTCAAACCTTAAGTAAGGGAGGACTATAAATTTGAACTCAAATATTGAACAAGGGAGAACATGAAGACGACTGTCACAAAACCACAAACTGAACTAAGCAAGTTGTTAAGACTTCACATACACTGACTTAATGAATAAAGGTAAGTTGTTGCTGAAGGATTATCTTCTCTCTGAGAGTCAGGACAAAAAGCAAATAACAGCACCACTCTTCAGAGTTCATATTGGGTTCTTAGGGCTATTACTTCTTTTTCAGCTATATCACATTAACCAACCTAAATTAAGCTTTATTTTTAATACATTAGCCTATAAGTATTAATTTCTTAAGTTCAATACTTGGTAAGTAATGGCATGAAAATGCAAATACAGAAATACTAAGTCTACAGAAAAGCAGAAAAGCACAGTAGCAATACCATGCAAAAGATGATTACCTGACATAGAGTGATCTCTTCTGACTGGTTCGCAAAGATCCTGAGCCTGAACTGATGCTACTGTTCATCATCTGTTCCCGTAAATCATGTATTTTAGCCTCAAAACGACTGTATTCTGCAAGAAAGAGGCACTGCAGTTAATTTCCCCTAGAACTTCAGCAACTAAAATGAAATAAAATTTGAAATAGTTGTGATTAGACAAAGCAAATACACAGGAAATTCTACTTCACAATCATGTGGTTCAATGCACAGCTCACAGTAGGTATTTTTTTCAAATTAAGACAAACACTTCCACTAATAATTATCAATTTTATAGTAATATAAAGACTGATACAGATAAATTTTAACCCAGGACAAAAAGAAAACTGCAGAAAATACAAGTGAAACACATATTTAGAATCAAGAACTATGTATTTTAAATTTTAAATGTTAAGACATGGAAATGAAAAGTGTCTGTACATTAAAATCACTGGATTTGAATTAGATAAAGATTTAACACTACAAGGTGGGAAATATGCAAAACGTCTTCTGAAATAAGTCCATGTTCTCTTGGGAGCTCAGGAAAGGAAAAAAAAAAAATCCAGAATTCTGGCATGAATCTCAATCCACTTGTAAACGGCATTAGAGATTCAAACTGCCCCCACAGAATGATGTACAATGTTAATCCTGGACAAACGGATTGTGTTCTTAAGCAGCACTGTGGACTAATAAAACTAAGCTAAAGGCATTTGATTTTAGCTACAAAGGCAGCAGTAAAATAGGAAGAGCTTCTTCAGGACAAGCATTTCCTGAAGGGAGGTACTTACATGCTGTCAGCATAAAACATGAACTCAGAACAAGTAAGTTTGCCCTTCAGCTGAATAGTTTGGACTTCAAGATCAACAGATCCACTTGTAAAACCTTCCTAGTCAAAGGAAACGTTCTGCAGCCACCACCTTCCCCAGGAGCCCACGTGATGCCAGATTATAACGCCAGCCTGGAGAGCCAGGGGTGTGCCACCAGCTGCTGCACTGGGCCCAGTGCCGCTCACTGCCCGCGGGCAGCACGGTCAAGGGAGACAGAAAGGGCCCTAGACACCAAACATCTTGAGAAAACTTCTAAATGAAGGTTCCTTCAACAGACACCTAAACCCTAGGACTGTTTCATCATATTACATTCTGCAGCCCTTTCTCCCCACACACTCCTGATACAGCGAGAGCATCCAAGTTCATCACAAGCCAGAGGAAAAAATACTAAGTTACAAAAGAATATTGTTTCTGATGCACATTTCATTGATCAGTTACTATAATATCTGGTCTGCAATAGCATCTACAATTAACCCTATCCAGACTAATCTGGATAGGTTATATTATATCCTAAGACCATATGAACAGTCTCTGAAATAACCCTGACTTTTGTCCTTTAAAAGCAAAAACTAACAGTTTTTAAGCTAGTATCTTAGTGTTTAAAACAGTACTAAGATCCTTTGTACAAGTCCAGATCAAATACTTTACCAGCACTAAATCAGACTGATAAGGCTGTTTGACAAGAAAAACAAAAGCATTATTTCCACCACTATGGATGCTATCACTAATAGCAAAAGAATTTAAGATGTCAGGATGGGAACCTATGAGGAATGTGAGAAAACCACATTTTTTAGAAAGCAACATCCCTTAGGGGAAGGGCTCAGATGCACTGAGAGAACAGCTCACTCCTGCTATGCTACTGCTGCACTGCATGGCCTTGGGTAAGTCACCTCATTTTACCCATTTATACCCAAAACCCCAATCCTTTAAGTGTTTCTTGGGTGTTTTGAAAGATTAAAGCTCTAAACATCAAACATCCAAGAATGGTAACAGAGATTCTGACAAAAAAAGATCTTTTGATGACCCTGTGTGAAAGGAAAGTATGCATGGGAAAGACCAGATAATTCAAGCATTTTCTTGTGCTATAGCCTGCTCAGTACTGAAAATATCTGCAGTCCTTTGCAATAGCTACAGGGAAAAAAAATACAAATTTCTGTTAAAAAGTATCATGTGTCATCTGCTGAAGGACTCATATTTCTTCCTATGCAGCACACAGACGTAGGAGTTAACAGGGAGGCTATTTCCTACTACTGCTTAACTCTACTTTATATCATCCTCAGGTTGCTGGTCTTGCTGTTTCCGGGAATAATTTAATTTTTATCATCAGAACTCCTGGGAAGTAAGTGCTGAATGAGTGACAGGGACATCTGTAGGAGTAAGAAGGAGAATAACTTCACCACAGAGGCTCCAGCCATACGAATAAAGCAAAAAAGGAAACTAATGGGCTGGGATTGAGGAGGCTTCATGTTTGAAAAGGAGTGCCAAGAAATGTCATATTTAGGAAAAGCTTAAACACTCTGTGCAGACAGAATCTGCTAAGTTCCTTGGATGTAGAACAAGCTAAAATTTGAGTTATACTTCTCTTACACAAGATTTAGGGAGGAACAGGATGGATAGAAATTACAAAATCCTTGGATTTGGAGCAGAAAAGCAGACAGGATTTTTGTTTTTAAATGAAGAAACCTTTGTATTAGATACAGTGGTACTGAAACTAATGCTAGGCAGAGAAAATAAGACTCTTGGTGGCATCAGAAAAGCAGTGCCAGTTGGATACTCAAAGGATCAGCATCTGTCCCCTGTTGGTTTGACTTCAGCATTGTAAAGCAAAGGTCAAACTCTGCTTGTTCGCCTAGGAGAGGTTATATTTCTATTTCTGTGATTAAGAAGAGTTGGATATGTCTTTTGCACCTTCAATCTGTTAATTTCCTTCTTGTTTATCATCCCTAGATTCTCCCAAATGCTAGAGAACCGTTTGCTTTACACTTCCATTTTCTCTTATGGGTATGTATAATATCACATATGCAGCGTATGACAAATTTGATCAGATGTGTTCCCCTACATCACAGTGAACAGCACAACAAATTTCCACATGGCTAAGTGTGACAAAAATCATACAATGCACTTATAAATATATGACTTATAAAAAAAGTTTTGTCACTTCAACATTCCATAAATCTGGTGCTGGAACAGGCACGGTGAACAAGATGAAAAGGACACTCTGCTTTCCTGGTTAGCAGCAAATGTAGAGCTTGGCTGAGAAGGAATATGATTGATTTCTGGTGTAGTGTGATCAGGGTAACCAAACAGAAAGGACATAAGCTATTTAAATGGAAAAGTAAAACTGATTTTAATCCAAATGGAATAGACTGATCATATGAACTCCACCTACAAATATGCTTCCAATTTCCACAGCCATCAAAACACTGAGATTTTGCAGTAGTATTTCAATAGGAACTATGGTGACACAAGAAACACAGACACCCACCTAAAATTAAATTAAAAACCAAAAGAAAACCACACAATCCAACCCCTCAGTCCTTTCAGATAAGAAGCTGACCACTATCTGCAACCTGCCCTATATGCAGCAGCAGGGAATGGGACTTAACTCAGGATCTCTCGCAATGCACTGAATTTTAGAAAAGCTGCTGATGCTATACATCAAATAAAGGGTAACAGACAGCAAGGCTAACATGAGATGCACTAAAATAAGAACATTTACAATTAGGGCATATTTTCTTGGCTAGAATTTTATTAAAGTTTCCAATAAGTTTAGAGGCAGGGAGGGAATAGTACCTGCCATCATAACAGAGCTTGAGGGAGCAAAAGCACCTGCTGCTTCAATTCATGGCATTTATCCAACAGCACATCACCAGCACCAAAGGAAAAAAACCCAAAGCCTACTCAAGTTTACACATAATCAGTTGCTAAGAACATAGGATGAATACATCTGGGCTCAAGCTTAAACTTTAAAATTACACTGGATAAGCAGATGGTGCAAAACTAGACTAAATCTGCTCTATTTCATGTCTGCATGTATTCCACAGCAAGAAACAAAAAGGAGAGGAAGACCAGGAAATCCTGGAAGATCACCCTGCTCCCAAGCTCCTAAGGTGATTTTACCTAGAAAACTGTAATGTTTTCAACGTCAATGTTTACTTGAACGGAAATCAAAACTTCAAAGAAACTCTCCTGGACTGCTACCTGGTGGGCCACAAGGACACACACACACACAGAAAAGTGGTGAATTGTCTGTACAGGCAGGGGAAAAGGAAAATGAGGCCACAATGAAAATGTATCTGGTCTGGAACACACGTTCAAGCAAATGGGGCAAAAGAACAGAAGGCTATGATAAGGGATAGAAAATTCAGCAAACAGCACAGAAGGAACAGCAACTCAAGGAAGCATGGATGTGCCTACAGGGAACAGATGGCAGCACAGCACAGAGACGCAGAGATTCTTACATATATTGAACCCACGTAGAGCTGAAAAAGTTCACTTTAATTAAAAAAGTATGCCCCTTGCTTCCCTCTTCCCATCTGTCTATGGAAGGCCCTCCCTTAGCAGGACCCATTGGATCTGTCAAAGCAGGACTCTTGTGCTGACAATTTTATATAACTACTGATTTAGATTCTTTTCTCCAATCCTAAAATACCCAGTTTGCCTTTTCATGGTGGCTCCAAGCAGAGGAATGGAGCCTGGTAGTTTGGATGGCCACTACTACAGTGATCCTTGTACTGATCTTCCATTCTTTTTCTATTAGCATGCATAGGGCACAATAGAACCATCATCAATCATTTTTGAGGATATATTATTTTGCTTCAATGCTTGTCATTTCATATCAACATTACCTGAGACAGATCACAATGCATCCCACATGCTATTGGTGCCTTTCATGCACTCCAACATGTAATGAGCTTGTACCTCATTAATCGCCTGAGAGACTCAGCCAAAGAATTTCAAAACAGATTAGCAAAATTGCATTTGTATTTAGTTTTGAACAGCTCCCACAGAACCTGCAAAACCCACAGAGACACTGTGTCCAGTCACTGCTGAGGTGAATTCCCTAGAAATGTTGCTGAAGGCTTACATTCACAAACAATTTTATTTAGTATCCTGAAGAGCAGGAGTGAGGTTTTAAAAGATTAAAACACATGTAAGCCTCCTTACAGTGTCTGTCAGGGCTATATATAGCAAACCCTTTTTCTAATCCTAATGGGTCTAGTTTTGAAGATACTCGAATAGACTAACCTAGATTACTTGCAAATGAGCA